AAAAAAAAAAAAAAAAAAAATTAGTGATTCAGGGCCAGGTGCTCATGCCTATAATCCTGGTACTCTGGGAGGCCAAGGTGGGTGGATTGCCTGAGCTCACAGGTTCAAGACCAGCCTGAGCTAATGGGTTTAAGACCAGCCTAAGCTACAGCATCTCTAAAAATAGCTGGGTGTTATGACGGGTGCCTATAGTCCCAGCTACTTGGGAGGCTGAGGCAAGAAAATCCCTTGAGCCCTGAAGTTTAAAGTTGCTGTGAGCTATGACACCACAGTACTCTACCAAGGACAACAAAGTGAGACTCTGTCTCAAAAAAAAAAAATTAGTGACTCCTTGAAAATCATCAGCAGCTCTGCATATATAAGCAGACAATCTGTATTTGATGAACTTAAGAATTTACATCAAAAAAATAATAATTACTTTAACATCTCCTTTCTGAAGCCTATACATGTGTGGCAACTTAGTGGCCGGCCTAAAGGCAGCATCCTTAGACTATTTACAAGAGACCTTCACAAGCGCTACAAGTGCCCACCTGTTTACTCCAGCCACAGCTTTTCTCCAGAACCCCCACTTCCTTCCCCCTTATCATCACACTGCAGTCCCATAAGCTGCCTGCCTGTCCCTCTTGTCCACACACCTCCCCTGGGCTCACCCAGAGGCTGCTCCACCCACCAGGCACCCTGGGCTGCTGCTTCCCCTGTTGCCCTCTGGAAGGTCCTAATTAGCCCCTCCAACCTGCACTCTCACCAACTCTGCACTGGACCCCTGCCAGTCCCCTTGGCACACGGAGGTGTCTATGATCACCTGTTCACCTATCTCACCCCAAACACACTGTGGACCCTGTGGGGTTAGTGTTTATTTAACTCACTGTGGTGGTTCAAAGTAAACACTTAACAACGGTCTGGTCTCCAAAAGCATGTGCACATATTCCTAAGTATTTACTTTCAATTTTACTGATATAAAAGATGCATAGTGCACAATGTCAAAAATATATACCATATCATAGTAATAAAAATATAATACATAGTAATACTAAGTATATAGGACATAGTATATAAAGTACATAGTAATATTAATAAAATTTTCCCTTTTTTTTTTTAATTTCCCCTTGGCCACTTGTTTTTCCAGAATGCTTTCATGGTCTTTTGTTTTTTTCTTCTTCTCATCTAACTCTTTCATCTGTAGCTAACGTATAGCTGGAACTGACAAATGAGGAAATGCTGGCTGCTATTTTCATTCACTTTAAGGAGGAAAGCAAAAGCCAAACAAGGAAGATAGAGGTCAAACCTGGTATGAACAACTTTTCTGCTGAATTGGACACTAGTTTTCAAACACCAGAAGAATACTGACTCAATTTTTGGGTACTATTCACAATGTAATGGCTGAAGTCACAAAACACTTTTAGTTTAAACTGCAATGCTAACATTTTTCTCTATCACTCTCTTAGACAATGAACAAAGCAATAAACCAAGCCCTGACTTGTAGTGTCTGCTGGAGTCCATGGAGTAAATGCTCCCACCATGGCTGACATCAAGCCCCAACATGACGTCTCTGGGTGCAAACACAGGTGGGAAGAAATGAGCCATGGTACATACTGTATGCTCTCTCCACCACTCAGACATGGGGCATGGGGAGCCGGCAACACTACAATAGCAAGTAAGGGATGAGTTTTAAGTATTTATTACCTTTGTCTTTACTATAATTTATTTAATTATAATGATGGCTGTATTTAACAACCAACTTGGAAAATTCCTTAAAAATGTAATGACAGGGTACCAGCTGGCTCTGGAAGGCCATGGTTCACGACTATATTCCCAGTGTTTAGGACATAAAAGATGCTCACCGTACTTTGTGGAAACAAAGTACAATCCTGCAGTTACCTCACACCTGAGGGTCTACTACTCCAAAGTCCTCTAACTGGGAATTTTCTTTCTTTGGGTGGGGGGACAGAATCTCACTATGTCGCCCTCGGTAGAGTACCGTGGCATCACAGCAACCTCAAACTCCTGGGCTTAAGCGAATCTCTTGCCTCAGCCTCCCAAGTAGCTGGGACTACAGGCTCCTGCCACAACACCTGGCTATTTTCTTGTTGCAGTTGTCATTGTTGTTTAGCTGACCTGGGTCGGTTCGAACCCGCCAACCCCAGTGTATGTGGCTGGCACCATAACCACTGTGCTACAGGCACAGAGCCTGGGAATTCTCAAAGCTAAAGAAAATAATACAATCTTCCATATAACACATTTAAATGGGGAAGGAGTCTTTTTAATACTTAGTATAAGCTCAAATATAAAATATCTTCTTTGATAAATTCTCCCTGAGGTATTTTTTTCCACAAAAACACTTCAGTATCTGGGAGGTGAATTTTAAATCCTTCAACAGTCTGATTAAGTTTAGCACCCTGGGTGGCATTAGTCACAGGGTGTTCCTTGAAGCTCTTGAATCCCTGCCCCCCGGTCTGGGAAGAACAAAGCCCAAAAAGTACCTCAGGCCAGAGGGCTCCAGTGCTGGGAATGCACCCGCTCCTGGATCTCCTCTAGCTCAGGCAGGTCCTCCTCCTTGATTCTCTCTCTGTTGACAATGACACTGCCACCTTCTCTTCACTATCTCCCCTCTCCCAGTTCCCTGTGAGTCTTCCCTGCACTCCCCTAGGCTGCCTTTGGCCCTGAGCTTCCCAATATTCTTAATGCTGCCTGCTGTTGTCATTAATGTCTCCAGAACCCACGTCAGATGACCTGCCTGCGCATCTCTATCGGCTAGCATTCAGACAAGACCTTGCACATCACTATCTGCTATCCTCCAGACCAGACCACCTTCGGATTCGGCTGCAAAGCTGTCGCCTAAACCTTTGACAGACACCAGCATCTCAGTCCACTGCTCTAAGAATGCAGGGAGAGACACCACACGCATCAAGCAGGATTTGGTCGAACTTTACCTTCCACAGATTGGAATCTAAATAGAAGGGAGAAGAAATATTTCATTTTCCCAAGCACAAAATTAAAGCTGAATTTGCTTCTTCAGATTCTGCATGATGCTATCCACCCCCAGAAGGCAGCACATGGGACTCCTCCTTCTCTTCACCCTTCTAAGGCAGTACCTGCCCAAGACCCCCCTCTATGCCTATGGGGGTCATGTCCCTTTCCCATCTCTGATCACTGCTCCATCCTTATCACCCTCAGGTGGACACCACTCCCAACTGCTTGCTATGCCCTTCCTGGCCATTGGCCATCCTCCCCAGGCACTTCTACATTGTGTCACTTTCTTACTGAAGAACCCTATCTCAGGGCTCCCTATCAGATCCTAAGAGAATATTTTTATTCCTATGAAACAGACACTGATGGAATTAGGAATCACAGGGAACACTGTCTTTTAGCTTACTCACAAATGGTTCTGGAAAAACAAAAGTCAAAAAACTACGAAACAGGGCCAGGCACAGTGGCTCAAGCCTGTAATCCTAGTGCTCTGGGAGGCAGAGGTGGGTGGGATGCCTGAGCTCACAGGTTCAAGACAGTCTGAGCCAGAGTGAGACCTCGTCTCTAACAATAGCCAGGTGTTGTAGGGGGCACCTGTGGCCCCAGCTACTTGGAGGCTGAGGGTAGAGAATCACTTGAGCCCAAGAGTTTGAGGTTGCTGCGACCTATAATGCCACGGCACTCTACTGAGGGCAACAGAGTGCGACTGTCTCCAAAAAACAACCTATGAAACAGTAAATGGGGCAAAATGCAAACCACTGGTGACTCCAGGTGAAAAGTAAACAAGAATACTTTGCACTATTCTCATACTTTTCTGGAATTATACCAAAATAAAGCTACACCCCTCCCCCCCCAAATAAGAAAAATCCAAACCCTCACCTTAGCATCAAACTCCAACAATGAATAGCCCTTCTTATTAATCACTCCAGCCAGGCTGGTCTGTGATGGCTATATCTCTGACACCTTGTTTTCTGTCCCCCTGCAAGACTCAGGATTTCCCCTGCCCCTCCCGTCAACACACTTCCTTCACTGCCCCGAGAACCAGTTCCTGACTCACTTCTTCCAGGCGTATAAGGAAAGAAAGGAACTAACGTTCACTGACCATCTGCTATCAGGCAGGAATTATGCTCAGCGCTTACTGTACATTATCTCATCTAATTCTGCGAACACTTCTGGAAGGGAAGTATTAGCCTGAGACTAAGAGAGATTAAGACACTGGTCCAAAATTACCCAGCCACTAAGTACAGAGTTGGAAAGGAGATGCAGGTAGCCTCTGCCATCCACAGCGCTGACCCGCACCTCAGGGTTCCCTGACGTCTTACCAGATGACACACACAGATTACTCGATGTACACAGCATGTTCTGCACCAGGTCCTATTCTAAATTCAAGGGGTCTGTGAGAGAACAAGACAGATCCAGTTTCTGACCTCATAAATCTCCCATTTTAGCAAGAGGAAACAGACAATAAAAGATGTATTTATCACACAGTTATATAGTACTTATTCCACACCAGATGTTAAGCATTTTATAAATATGAATTCATTTAGTCCTCATAAAGACTCATTTTTAATAGTTAAGTATTATTCTTACAAATAAGGAAACTAAGATCGAGGGGATTAAAAATCTTCCCTGGAGTCACACCAGTAGCAAGTGGGGAAGCTGAGACTTAACCCAGGCAGTTTGGCTCCAGCGCCCAGGTTCTGATACCTCTCAATAAGCATAAGCAAGTGACCTAGCATGGGTGAGTGCTCCGGAAAGATAGAAAAAAGAAATCGGGGTAAAATGATCAGAAACACTTGGGGGAAGGAGACATCCTGAAATTTTCAACTGGGTGGGATGAGAATTCAGAGGAGGTGACATCTGGGCAAAGACAAGCAGGGGCTAAGGGAGTTAACCACGCCAACCACGTTGTAGGGAGAGTGTTCCAGGGAGAGGGAAAGCCTGCAAAAGGCCCAGAGGCAGGGTCTGCCTAGAGTGTGGGAGAGACAGAGAAGCCTGGGCAGAGGAGGGGACATAACCACTGCCTTTGGTGCAGCAGAAAGCTCAGGTGCCATTAGGACCTGATCTTCCCTATCTTCCTGGTGGTCCATCAGCTGCTCTTATATTAATCTTCATTTCCAAAGTGAACCGTGAACTCGGAACAGAGCCTGTGGCCTCTACTCCCTTTGCATGTCCTTGGCACTGCTAAGTTGGTTTGCTGCATCTATCTTCCTTGCTTATGGATTCCACCAACTACAAGGTGCAGGAGGATGAACAGGTCCTGCCAGAGCAGCTTCTGACCCCTCTGCTCAGGGGTCCTCTGCACCAATGGTGGGCAGTAAGATCTGTCCGCATTAGGGCAACATCAGGAAGTACACGGTACATGTATCTTATTGCAAAGCACATCTGCCCTATTTTAGACTCAAATGTGACTCCAGTATCCCACTTCAAACTCGCTGGTAGCCAACATCCCTCTACCTGACATGGCACTACCACATCACTCTCTGGAGCAGAATCAAAGCTTTCTCATCTAGAATGGGACCCAGGGAGTGCAGAGGCAACTAGCATCTTCACCCTCCTTATGACAAAAACATCCCTCCCAGACCCTGCACAGAGTATCTTAACTCTGGGACTCCCGAAGTCCTGGATCACAAGAATGAGCTCCTAAGAGGTCAGTAACAACTGAACACAGTGAAGGGCCCTAATCACATCTACACAGGCTTAAGGCAAAGACTCAGCATTCAGTTAAGTTACAGAGAATCTAGCTAGATGCAAGTCACCCCACTTCACAACAAGGAAAGCACCTTCTCTCTACTCCTGTCTATCAAGTGCAGAATGTTCAGATTCATTCCCATAGTTCCCACTGACCTCTGCAAGTGACTCATAGGAATTAAGGAATATGCATCAGACACTTCTCTATTCCCAATTTCAGTCTTTTACAGTAGAAAAATCCATTTTGGCCCTAAGTCAGAAATGTAGGATACTTTTTTCCTCACATTTTATTTGTAAAATAAATTACTCTAATTTAATTCCACTTTTTATTTTCCAAAGGCAGTCTAGAAAAACATCCTCCCTTATAGAAGAATCATCTTCCATAGGCTGAGATGACGTAGAGAGAGGAAAAGCTAGGAGAGGGAACATGTTTGTAATGATAACTGAGATCTCAGGTGCTACTATTACATTTAGGAGATGAATCTCTCAAGGAGGTGGCAGAGAATTAGCAGGAACTACGTGAAGAAAAACATTGTCGAAGCAGGTGGACTGCTTGAGCTCAAGAGTTTAAGACCAGCCAGAGCAAGAGCAAGATTCCCACTTCTAAAGACAGCCGAGTATTGTGGCAGGAGCCTACAGTCCCAGCTACTTGGGAGGCTGAGGCAAGAGAATCACTTAAGCTCAAGAGTTTGAGGTTGCTGTGAGCTGTGACACCACAGCACTCTACCAAGGGCAAAAAAGTGAGACTCTGCCTCAAACAAAAATTTTAAAAAAGAAAAACACAGTCCCTACTCTCGGAAGCTCAAGATAACAAGTGACCCTTTAGCCATGGGACTGCTCTCCTTTTACGCAATTGGGGGGGGGAGGGGCCTTCTGCCCCACTGAGAAGCCCCAGCAGCTATGGGGCTGCCTGGAGTGTGGGACCCAGAGACAGGCAAGCCCCTACCACCTGTGATATAACATCTGTCACACCACAATTCACACATGGCAGGTAAGCTGTGCTAGTTTCAGAGACAATTAGATAAAGGTACGGCATCAACACTTAAGTTTCCTGCCCCACTGAGAAGCCCCAGCAGCTATGAGGCTGCCTAGAGTGTGGGACCCAGAGACAGGCAAGCCCCTACCACCTGTGATATAACATCTGTCACACCACAATTCACACATGGCAGGTAAGCTGTGCTAGCTTCAGAGACAATTAGATAAAGGTACGGCATCAACACTTAAGTTTCCTGGTGCTGATCACTCTATGACTATGGCCTGAGAATATCCTTATTCTTGATAAATCCACACTGACTTATTTAGGGTTAAGGAACACAATGTCACTGACTTTTAAATTAGCCAGAAAAATATGCAGCAGGGACAATAAAATAAATGGCACAAAATATAAACAATAAAACCTACTGAATAAATCTAGGTACCAGGTGGCGGGGCTCCTAGGACGGCTCCTGCAACTTCACTGTAAAGTTGAAATTGTACCAAAATAAAGTTGCTCAAAAAAGGAGCTGCCTATGGCCAGCAAATGGTGGGCACACTGTCCCAGTAACAGTGGGCACCGCCTCCCACCTAATGAACCTGGGCACAAGGTAGCAAAGTCACTGGCACAGTGACACTCTCAGGGACACATCCAGAACAATTAGCAGTGCTGAGAGAAGTCGAGGAGCACCTAAGGCATCAGCTATCCTTGGGTTTTTCTCCACAATCAAGTCATATTCAAGCATTTGGCCAGCTTTACCAAAAGGGGGTTGGGAAGGCACCTAACCTGAAACTTTAATGTTATCTAGGGCTCTTCCTCTCCGTATCTCTTCTATCTAATCAGTGTCCTCTTTCCAAAATGTCTCTGGCATCATGTCCCTTCCTCCTCTATCTCTACTGCCAACAATTCTGTTCCAGTTCCTTGTCATGTCACAGCTGAGTTATTACCAATTGTTCAGGGGTGGGCAAACCACAACCCACAGGACAAATCCAACCTGCAAGCAAAATATCATCTTTACATTTTAAAATGGTTGAAGAAAAAAAGAAATCAGAATAAGACTATTTGTGACATGGAAAAATTATATGAAATTCAAATTTGGGGGCCATAATTATTATAACTTTACTGGGAAAATAGCCACACCCATCTGTTTCCATATTACCTGCAGCCGCTTTTACACTCAAACAGGAGCGTTGAAGAGTTGCATCAAAGAGACCGCTTAGCTCATAGAACCTAAAACATCTTTGGCTCTTTACAGAAAAAAGTTTGCTTACTCCTCCCACAGCTGATTTTGCTGACTCTCACCTCTCCTGCTTCTACCAGATTAAACAGCCTGAGATACTACTACCTCCACATTGGTGCTATGTTCAAACACCCTTGCTGGATTCC